AGCTTCCTCCAGCACCGACGGAGAAAAGAAGAAAGGGAGCTCGGGGAGCATCCTCCAGAGACGCTGACAAGGATGACTCGGATCAAAGACAGCCATGAAAGCTCGTATGCCGTCAAGAGAACACGGCGTGGGTGGCACACGACTCTTGCCGCCTATGAGCTACAGCTGCACCCCTCCGCTCAGTGTATCCAATAACGCATTCCAACAACGGGCGAAGCCGACATGCCTGAGCCATGTGAAGAGTCAAGTGACAATCCTTGGAAACTGCTTGCGAGGCCCGGGTCCGTAACGTCGCCAGCGGGAGTGTAAGAGCGCTTGGCAGAGTGACCGAAGCCGGACGTGATGCAGTCGAACTCGGCTGAGAGGGAACCGACGCTACCGGGAGCACACTTGGCGAAGGAGCAGCCGAAAGAGATTAAGCAGGAGCCAGATCAGAGGTTGACGCAGGCTGCCGATGCTTGTGGTGCCGGTGCTTCTTGTGATGCTTCTTGTGCTTCTTGTGCTTCTTGGACCGCTTCGATCGGTAACCGGTAGAACTCGACGAGGCACGACGCTTGCGACGCTGCTGCTTCCCCAAAGCCGACGCAGAGGTAGAAGTTGTCCCGTCACCAGAATCCATCGATGAATGTCGCGAGGAGTGGCGATTACTCGGCGGTAAGGACTCATCACTCATCTCATCGTCAGGCCGAAGATTGCCGCATGAAGGCTTCTCGCCTTGGCAGAACGACGAGCATCTTCGGCCGCCAAGTCAGAACTTGGAGGACTACTCGCCGAGCTCTCGGATAAAGAAATGGGATCCAAGAGCGACCCAGCGGCAGGATTCGTCGAGCCGGCGGACGGCGCAGAACCGTCACCAGGCCCTAAAACCCCGTCGTCAGACGCGTCAAGGTCCTCAAGCAGCTGAGCAATCACAGTGCGAGCAGTCGCAGCAGATCTATGGATGGGGTGCCCAGACGGGGACGTCAACACCACCGAGCTCGCAGGGAGAGACGGTCTGAGGACACTCACGGCCGGAGTCACTAGGTCAGTCGGCGTAGTGGATACGCTCAGACCCCGAGAGGGAGAGACGTGGGAGGATCGACCAGATGACGACTGGGAGTGCCCAACCACCGCTAATACAACGCTGAGCGGCACACTTGACTGGGGCAACTCAGCGGAGATGGGTGAAGTCGAGCCTGGGGCACAAACACTTGTAGCCGGGGCAGGCAGCGAGGCCACGACATCAGAGGAAGATACCGGCGGTAAGTAAGTAGTCGCGACTGACGACGTCGACAGAGGACCAGAAAACGAAGAACCCACCGAAGTCGTCGAATCAATCGCCAGAACGGTGTCGGCGGCCGGTTCGGGCAACTCAAACTCATATTCAGCTTCACTCGAAGCGTCATCGTCGTCTTCAGAGCGAGCAGAGACTGCTGGCTGTGTAGCAGAACTCAACTGAAGGTGACGAACCTTCTTCCGCCGAGTCCGACGACGAGATTTTCCGGAGCGGGGCTTTACTCCATCAAACACGGTAGCTTGAGGAGAGCTTGAACGCAAAAGGGCACCGATAGCCTCGTGTCCCTCCTCCCCGGGAAGTGGACAAGCGTATGGCTGAGGCGGATACGGCGCCGGTGAGCGATGACGAGGACCTGCAGCAGCTGGAGACTTGGGATTGGCATAACGCCGAAGCCGCTGAGTCGTTGTCACGTCCGCCAACGGAGTACGATGAAGCTGGGCGAGGGTCGGCTCGGGTTGGCTCGTAGCCGCCACTGATCTGACAGGAGCCGCAGCCGAGTCCGCCGATGGAATCACAGGCGAGGCCTGACCAGCTGGAGGAGCCACACTAGGACCAACAGTTGAACCGGTCACTGGGGCATCTTGGCGAGGATGGACGATCAACTCCAACCGCCGAGTGTCCCCAGTTGGAATGTGGAGAACTTCAGGGAAGCGAGACTCCAAGCCACGACACAGCCGGGCGTTAAGAAGAAGGTCGGACGGATCAAGTCCAGGAACCTCCAAACCAGCGCCAGCAGCAGCAGCCATGTGAGGTTCGTGCATCGCAATAACACCATTCCGACGGATGAGCCGCTTCTGCCGCAAGATCACAGCCCGCTGCTCAGCGATCACCGACTGGGCATGCCGCAAGGGTTGAGTACCGGTGGAGCTGTACAGCCGCACCGATTCCTGCAGCTGCTCGAAATGCTTGGAAGCAATGCCTTGAATGAACGCCGCATCCCTCTCGGAGACAGATCGGAGAAGGACTGCGATCTTGACGTCTCGATCCAAGACTGGCTGATGATGGAGCTGGGCCTGACTCAACGCAGCGTCAACCTTGCTCTGCTCAGCTGCGACAGTCCGAGCAAGTTTCGCTTCACCCAAGGCTACAGCCTTTCGCAGTGAAGCAAGGAGATTAGCAGACTGCGTGGCAGCAGCCTCCAATCATGACACCTGTTGTCGCGCCGAGGAGAGCTGAGTGGACAAGTCGACATTGCTGAGAGCAAGAGAGTCCAGTCGCCGAGTCAATGCGCGGTTCTCTTCTTGAACATCTTGATTGTCGGCCCGAGATCGCCAATGATCTGGGGATAATCAAGAGCGGCGTAGTTGCCTTTCAAGATATCCAACAGCTCCCCCGCGGAAGAAGCATGCAAGATCGCTCGCCGCTGCGCGGGATCGAAAGGCTCCACGGAACCTGTGAATCCGTAGGCCATGAGCCTCGCCAAGAAGGTCAATTCTTCTCGACTCTCGTACCCCTGCTCGTTAACTCTGGTCATGGGGGAGTCAAGACTCACTGAAGCAGCCAAGCTTGACTGACTGGTGGCGTCCGAAGTGGTGTCGCCCGGCAGGCTCAGTGGACCAGGAGGGCGCGCGCGAGAAGACTCCACCGACTCCGCGTCAGACTCATGGGAAGTTGTCAGGTCGACCAACCCAGCTTCAGGCCGGTCGCTGACCCCACGAGTGCCGACGGGTCGAGGAATCGACTCAGCTGGCGCGCCTTCACCTCGACGAGGAGTTGGAGGAGAATGGTGGCGCCACGAGTTTTGCTGGAGTAGCATGCGAGGAGTAAGGAGCTACCAAGTGAGTGACAGCGGAAGCAACAAACGTACCGAAGAAGGTGGTGGAGAGCCGCGACACGTCATCAGCCGAGTACGGACCAACGGTGGCAGAGCCAAATGAAGGATTTTGACACTCACCAGCTCGGCTCGTATCATAACCGGGGCAGTTGTGGTGTAGGGATTTCCAGATTCGACCATGCGCCAACCTACTTTAGATCAAGAATCGGCTTGGTCTGATAACACAGAACTTAGGAGCAAAGGATCACGGTAAGTACTCGGCGATCTGTCCGGATGATGCTATCCGGATAGCCGCTGAGCTCAACGGTCGCCTGAACCCAGCTGAAGGACTACATTTCACTAGATATTTGTAAAAGAAGCATAGGATTAAATAGGGAGATCCGAAAAGGCTCCCAGAAGATAACAGAGCAGAATTTTCCTAGTCCAAGACACGTGTACACTTTCCCGGTAAGTCCCTGCATAGGGCTGGGTTATGCCTGCCGTCAGTACTCGAGAGGCATAGCTTGTAGGGTATTGACTGGTAGCGCCAAGAGATTAGGTCGGTCCGGGTAGGACAAAGTCTCGCTACGCGCGAAAGGAAGTCCCGCATACTCAGCGGGCCGGTACGTCGAATAGCCCGGGTGCCGTAACACTTCTAGCTGAGCAGCCTCTGCGCTCGGTGACCTGTAAAAGCGCTCGCGCGCCGTCGTCCATCCTTTGGTGGAGGGCACAGGGTTGTGAACGAGCTCAGCCGAACCAAACTCGGCGGAGCCTCGGAAGTGATCTGACTTGGTTAGTCGGAACCGAGTGGAAGCGAGCCACTCGTCTGTCCCGGAAGGGCCGGACCGCGAGGGGACCACCCTCTGCGCAGGCCATACAACCGCCGACCTAATTTCGGCGGATTGTTGTGGTTTGTGTAAGGAATCCACATCTGACGGCATTTGTGTGCTCTACTACACCACACTTCGAACTCTCGAATCGGCGAAGAGCAGCGGCAGGCTGCTCGTAGTACATGGAAGTGTACGGGGATACGATCACCCCTTAAGAATTTTGATCGATTCTGGGGCATCGAAGAGTTTCGCACGCCGCCAGACGGCTGCTCGTAATAGCAACGAATTGTCCGATGCTTTGAGAGATGGAAAAAGAAACGGGACGGTGTCAGTGCGACTGGCCGATGGGAAGGTCATCACTATCCCCAACGTCCACGTGGATCTGGCCGTCAAGTTTGAGGACTTTGACAGCCCAGAACGGTATACTGTTCTCGACATGGGTCCCTGTGATATGATCCTGGGCATGCCCTGAATCGAGAAGCACTAGCCCTGGATCGACAGGTAAGGCAAGGCAATCGGTGCGAGCCGCCCTGCGAAGTCCGACAGAGAATTGGTGAGTCGTGTTCCCACCTCTGTCAGGACCTGGGGCGCCCGCAAGGGCTGCCAGGGTACCGAAGCATCCAGCAGATGCTTGGGCGTCGTCGACGTAAATGACGACTCCGAGGACACTTCGATGTTCCACGCGCAAGACCCTCGGCGAGCGAGAGACGTTTGGGAGGTTTATCCTCTTCGTCGTCGCCAGCTTTGGGAGGGCCATCGCCCTGATGGCAGGACTCTCAGAGCGCACAGACGTCCTGGGACTGTGATCATCGTGGTCACTAGCGAGCGAGTGCACGCTGTCGTCGTCGTGCTCGCTGGGCACTGAAGTGTGCCCTCCCACGGAGCCAACAGGAGCATCGTGAGTGCTTCCGGACTCGGCCTGCCGCATGTATGCGTCTCAAAACACAGTATACACCGTCCTGATCTGAGGTGTAGTTCCAGTCGACTCGGGATAAATACTCTTATGCTGTTACAATGTACTTACATGACCTTCTTTTGAGTTCTTTCAGTCAATCTAAATACTTTTATCTTTGCTGCATCGATTTTGAAAGGAACGTAGTGGTAGCAGTTTTTTTAATCACCTTGCTCCCAGCTCACGTTCATGTTGGGTCGTGGCGGCGCATCCGTTGCTCGAGTTCGAGCACCTCGCCGTCTCCTTCGCACCGTAGACAGGTCTCAGCTGTCGACATGGCCACGTCTAGTTCCGCACCAAGCGCTTGTGGCACATTCGAAAGTTTGCGTTGATATCCGCGCACGTCTCGCCCGCGACGCGTGGGCCCGCCGCAACGCCGAGTTGCTGCGCGTATTCCCCAGAGTATTAGCCACATCTCCTTCAAACGATTCACTGCTCCAGACACTGCGACGTCTGATCCGTGTGGCGCTCCACTTCGCTAAGCTGCTGGGACTAGCGCTTCCCCTTGCGCTCACGGCTCCTGTGGCGGTGGCGGCTGGCACTTTGATGCCTACAGTTGTAGAGCGGTGGTGGGAGCTTGCTCTATGGCTGGCTCAATATTCCTCTCCAACTGTGATGAAATTTCTACAGTGGGCGAGCACCCGCCGTGATATGTTCCCCGCGTCATTCTGTGACCGATTCGAGACGTTCCACGAGCACGCACCAATGCATTCGTGGGCACAGACCGAAGATGCGTTAAGTATGGCGTTCGGAGACAATTGGCGAGGCATAATGGAGGTCGACAATCATCCTATTGGCTCTGGGTGCATTGCGCAGGTGTATCGAGGTCTTATCAAGGAGACGAACGAGCAAGTGGCAGTCAAGGTCATCCACCCACATGTGAAGCAAATGGTGGCATTGGATCTGCAACTATTACAGACTTTTGTGGCATTATTTGAAGCCATACCGACACTCCGATGGCTCGGTGGGAAGGATAGTGTCACGGAGTTCGCGTCTCTTATGGAGAGACAGCTGAATCTACGGACGGAAGGTGAGAATTTGGCCCTGTTTAGTGAACACTTCCGCAACCGCAAAGGACTCCGCTTTCCTGTTCCCGTGATGGATTATACAACGGAGAATGTGCTAGTGGAGAGCTTCGAGGACGGTCTACACTTCAGCGAGATCTTGTCACAAATGGAGCCGCCACGTCGGAAAGCCGTCGCTCGGGTCGTGCTGGAAGCGTATCTTCGCATGGTTTTCCTCGACAACTTTGCTCATGGAGACCTGCATCCAGGAAATCTTCTGTTTGACGAGCAAGTTCGGGGCAGGAACTCGCGTGTGTCGCGCTCTGAAGCCATTCGGAATGCTGGCGTGGTCGTCATTGATGCTGGTATTGTGACGAAGCTAGAGCCACAAGATTTGCGTAATTTTGTTGAGTTGTTCCACGCAGTAGCAACTGGAAATGGATACAAAGCAGGTGAGCTTATTGTGGCAAGAAGTAAGGGACGAATAGGTCCGAATGGAGCTGTGATTCCGACCAAGTGCAAAGATCTCGAGTCGTTCTGCACTGGGATGGAGCGGATTGTGAACGACGCGTTGAGTTGGCGACTCAGTTTGAAGAAGGTGCACGTGGGCGCTCTTCTTCGCCAAGTGATGGAGCTTTGCTGTACACACGAAGTCAAGCTGGAAGGGAAGTACGCTTCTATCGTTGTCTCTATTGCGGTTCTGGAGGCAGTAGGACGGAAACTTGACCCGGATCTCGATATCTTGGCAGTCGCTCTCCCGATCATCACACAGTCACTCGTCAAGAACGTGCTGAGTTGACGCAACAAGATTTTCACGATAGATTCTACGGCTGCTGGATGACTTGGCGTCGACACGAGTGCAGGAAAAGAAACTGAAAGCCACGTACCATAGTGAAGTGCACTCCTGCGGGCCTAGAGGAAGCTTAAAAATCATTTGTAAGGATACATTGGCATGTAATAGACCCCTTAATTACTACAATATTCCTCAAGAATTGCCGATGTCTGCGGTGTACACGAAAGACGAATCCATTTAAGTGATTGGCCCAGTGTAGTGACTGATAACCGCATGTCCTTCGTCTTCAGACACTGTAGCCACTCGTGCGACGTGAGACTATGACGTTCCTAGCGCGAAAAAGGGACTGACATGTGAAGCTGACGTCACTCTCAGATTTGCATAATAAGGATCAAGACCATGACGCAGTTGACTCCGTTAGACGCCGCTCTGCAGCTCTTCACTTCCGCACAGGATACGCAGTTTGCCGTGCAGTCCTCGACCAAGCCGGTGGTGGCGCTCTCTGTGCCCCAGGATCCCGATCGCAAGCAGAAGCGCGAGCTGCAGAAGCTCCTGGTGCCACTTGTCTTCCTGTGGCCGTGACGACATCGTACGTCGCTACACTGAAGCAACTCTAAACGAGAGGCTAACAGTTATTTGGTACTTTGCAGACGCTGCTCCAGTCATCGAAGGAGACGGCGATCTCAAGCCTCGCGGTCTTTCAGGGCGGCGAAGAGGTGGCTACCGTCACGACCGACGGAGAGCTTAAAGACCGCGTTACCAAGCTGGTTAAGCACATTGGATGGAGCCCCGACTGTCCGGATGAGAGCCAACTACACAACTACCTGTCCCCGATTAACGCGGAGGAGCTACTAGGCGACGTGGCAGCTTTCACAGCCACAACAGGCCAGCGTGACTACGTGGCGAATGCCGCCAACGTGTCGTCTATCATCTGGCATGCGTTCGTAGAGGCCGAACGTCCAATCAACTGGGCCGGTTTCTACTTTGTCCGTCCTCTTGCCAACCCCAAGGAGACGGACCACGACCACATCTTGATCCTCGGTCCGTTCATGGGGAAGCCAGCGTGCAGTCGGATTCGCTTCCAGAGTGGCGTCTGCGGCGCCGCGTGGCGCACCAAGTCAGTGCAGCGTATCACGGACGTGCACGAGTTCCCCGGCCACATTGCGTGTGACGACGCGTCTCAGTCTGAGCTGGTGGTTCCTGTCTTCGATAAACAGGGAGAAGTCATCGCTCTCATTGATCTCGACTGTCCGGAGAAGAACGGGTTCTCGGTTGAGGACGAACGCACGTTCGTGGAGGTCGCGCGTGTCATGTCCGAGGCCTGTGACTGGGGCAACGTCGGCCTGCCGTACACCCAGCCATGAAGCGTAGTCCTGTAGAATTTAGGTTGTTTGAATGGGTTAGCTCTTAAGCAAAGAGCGGCCAACCCCACGATGTTTTGATGTTTCCATTTGTATTGCCAGCTAGCGCTTTCGATAGGTCATTTCGTACAGCAGAATAGCAACAAGGTGTGAGCGAAGTCGTTCGGCCATTTCAAGAGCAGTCTCCTTCGTGGATTCCGTCCTGGTCTTAAGGCTGACGTCGTATTGAACGAGGACTTCAGCAGCTAAAGCAGCGTCGTTTGCAGCCGCTGCAGGAAGATACCGTAGTTCAATTAAACTGACAAAACGATTAGCAACATGAATGAAGCGTACCATAGTGAAGCGCACTCCAGCCATCGTTCTGAGTACGGTACAGCAAGTAAGCTCCCTTACAAGTAATCGAGTTCTCACTCGGGGCATTAGATACGCACATCCGTTTCGTCAATGAAGGCCTTTTTGCGAAGTAGCAACTTGGCAATATCAGCGTGGTCTTCACCGCAAGCCTGCAAGGCAAAGCACGTGGGAGGTTGAACCCTGCTAAGTTTTGTACTGTTCGCTCACCAACATCAGCGGCGTCATGCCACATTTCTACGGTAAGCAGCAGCACTTTTTGAGAACAGCATCGAAACGGGCAATGAATCGACTCATCAAAAGGAGCGTACATCCTTCCGGTTTATCGTGATTCTTCGGACAGGGGCCTTGTCCACTAGCCGCTCCACTATCTTCTCATGACCGCCCATTACGGCAAAGTGCAAAGGGGTCCAGCGCATTTCCAGCTAATAATTTTGTGAGCATCATCACACATCTGGATATTGATAGGACGTACGTCTGGGTCATCGATCGTAGTTTCTTCGTGAAGAAGGGTTCGGACTGCTCCATCCGCACCCTGCAGTGATAAACGTAAACAAGAGCAGTGTGCATCATAATCCTTGCTTGGCCTCAGCTTCCAAGCTTACGTACGTGTCTGCACGCGTAATGCAGCGCTGTCCGACCCTTTTCCTAGAATGCGAATCAGCATTACTCTTGAGTTTAAAGCGCAAAGCACTCGGAGCGTACATCTTTGCCGTTGGGATTCTGGTTATTCAAGCGTAGTCGTTGAGCGATGTAGCCATTGTGGTCGAGCTTGGCTTCAGTGCGACAAGCACCATCGAGTGTAGCGAGTTAGCCCTAAGGTGCATGCAGATCAGCAAACAGGACCAGGTGGGCTCACAGTGAATGTGGAAGAAGATCGTGCGTCGATACAGTCGAATCCTCTGGTTGACGGAGTCTCCCTCCACCTGACGCAACACTGGAGCTCTCTGTCCTGCTTTCCGCTGCTCGGACCTTGTCAGCTCCATGAAGAGCTTGGGGCGATCTTCATCGTTTTGCTTCCTCTGCTTCCGTTCTCTTTTCTTCCTCTTAGGCTCTGCATCCTCCGCTTCCTTCTCGACAAAAGCTGCGAGCTCGGCTTCACTGCCGCTTGCAGTGATGGCGTCGTGTTTAAAGCCGAAACGAGAGAGCATTGTATGGGTAACGACGCCTGCGAATTCAATGCAAAAAGTGTATTTTGCTGCCTACTGAGCGGACACCACGTCGACTAGCTTTGCCTTGCTAAAATAACTGTCCCATCTTAAGTCAAAGACATCTTTAGTCGCTCTCCGATCCACTATCAGTGGAATCCTTCCTACATGATGCACGCGATCGGCGACGAGGAGGCGAAGGCGAGCGTGATGAGGACGGAGAGCGTTGACGCGATGCCGACGAAGAAATGGACGGCGAACGACGAGAGCGGCGGCTTCTCTCTCGTCTTGGAGACCTCTTCATGCGCTCAGAGTGTCGCTCTCGCGATCGTGATGCAGATCTAGATACAGCAACCAAGGTCAGCGACAAGAACCTTTTATCAAAACATCTATGGCACATACCGATCTCTGCGACGACGCTTCAAGGACGGCGATCGAGATCGTCCACGTCTCGAACGTCCAGGGGGGGAGCTACGCGACCGTCTACGCGGACTCCTGGGGCGTCTACGTGGACTCGGAGAACGTCTACGTCTACGCGGAAGACTTCTTGATCGCCTCCTGACACTCGGTGAGCGTCTCGGACTACGAAAACGTCGCGGCGGACTTCGCGGACGTCTCTGTAAGCTCTTTGATCTCCGCCTCTCTCGTCGCTCGTTCCTGACATCGTCCTCCTGTGGCCTACTCTGTCCTTCGTTCTCTTTCTTCTTAATGTCCAACACCTTCTTGAGCTTGTTTTTCTCCTGCGCAATACTCTGCATTTCCTGCTTCTTCTTGTCCAGAATGGCACTGGGGATGCCTGTGGGATTGCTCTGTGCACTGAGCAATAGTTGCCACAATTCCTCGACAAAGGAACCCGCCTGCTTCTCCAGGAAACCTGTCAGCGCCACCTGCAGGTTCTTTGGATCTAGCTTCTCGTCCACCTTAGTTTCCAGCAGGTTAATGGCCATAGATACCACAATATCGTCCTCGAAGCCCAATAATTGCGTGACTCGCTCAGTGATCCACTGGTTGATGACTTCACGCTGGACCTTACGCATGTCCACGCTCCGTTCGAAGCACTTGGGGAACGTCATCGCCGCCAGCAGCTTCTTTTCCTGCGCCAAATAGCGTCCGTCTTGGCTCGCGCTCGTGCCACGGACCGCCATTAGTTCAAAATTGTGTGAGTTTTTTTTCTTCTTTCTTCTGAAGTACTACTACCGCATTTATTGTCGAGAAGATCAATTATTCAAAATAACACATTGCAATAATTGTAAAGTGGGCATCAGCCTTTATGATGAGTGGCGGCCACCTTCGTGCGGTGCAGCCGCCACGAGGACGGTACAGCCGAATGTGTTATCGGAGATTATTAGTACACACAATAGGCTAGCTAGCTAGTCGTTTCCTGCCGGGAAAGAAGGTTAGGAGCCGACGTTCCAGGCGTCATCCGGTAGTGAGTGCAGCACCTCTTTCACCACCTCGTAGGGCGCCGTTGTGAATAGTGAAGCCGGATACACGGCAGCACCCCAAGCCGGGTGGACCAGGATCTTGCACATTCCAGCGCTTAGACATCGATATCGCAGCAATAACTCCACACCATCCACTTCGCTGTAAACCTTGTTACTCGATAGCGTCAACATCTACAGCCAAAGCATCAGTATTTTCTTCACTTCGTTTTGGGTATACTTATAACATTGTATTCGTACCGGCAGTCCGGAGCACGGGTCGATGAAGTCAGCCCAGTACTTCTTGGCGATGAGTGCATTAGCCACCTGCTGTGCGAGCGCCAGGAAGGTTTCAAGCAGTCGATCCTTCTCCTTATCGGCATCTACGCCAAACTCGCTCAAGTCCATGAGCGACTTCTGACACGTCAGCACTGCCAGCACGTCGGTCTCGTTCTTGTTGCGCTGGAGCTGCTCTGGGAATACATGCTTCAGCTCGCGCATAAGCAGCCGCGGACACGCGTGCACCGACACTTGAAAACCCTCACGTAGCTCTGTGGGAAGCAGCAGCGGCTCCAACCAACCGCGCACGGAGCGATTCGTCGATGTACCGATAGGCGACGGCTCTAGCTCCATCTCAACCATCTTCAAATTCTGAAATGCATTCCATGCCACGGGAAAGCTTGAAAGGTTGTGTATAAATTTATACAGCCATCGTGATTTCATCCAATCCAAAGACAATAAATTGAGCATCTTGCTGGTTTCAGCCAATCAAGACCTAACGTTGTGTCCTCCAACGATCAAGTATCAAAATCAACTGGAGACGATGGACAGCAAGGATGAGGTGCACGCTGCTCAGGGCAACGATGCGCACCAGGAGGAAGATGTCAAGGCGATCGTGATGAACTACGGCAAGTGGAAGGACGCGAAGGCGCTGACCGAGCTGCTGCATCAGAAGGGCGTGAGCTTCCTCAAAGTACAGAAGTCGCGTCAATTGTCGTTTGGCTTTGTAGTTTTTAACTCCAAGGAGGAGCGTGCTGCGGCCATGCCGAAGCTTCAAACTATCCAATGGAATGGTGAACTACTGGAAGTGAAGGACGCGCTTCCCAAGAAGAGCATGAAGCCCATTCGCAAGCGCAACAAGCGCGAATCTGACAATAAGCAGGGCGAGGACCAGCAGAAGGAGCAACAGGAGGACGTCTCGCAGCGTGACGTGCGCGACGTGGTCACTCCATGGGCCTCTGTGCCCTATGACGAGCAACTCGAACGCAAGGAGGCGGAGATGAAGAAAGTACTGGTCAAAATTGTGCGTCACACCCGTAAAGAGTTCGGCAAGAAGGAGAAGCGCGTGGCTCAAGACCAACGCAATGTAGCCAAGAAGAAACGCAAAATGGAGAGCGAACAGGAAGGGAACGCTGACAAGGTGAAGCCTGCGGAGAGTTATGTGGACGACGCGAAGCCTCAGTACGCTCTGAAGATCCCCAACTGGCTCAACAGCCACGGATCGATCTTTGTTGTAGCCAATAGCGTGCTGTACTCGCGTGCTCACGAAGCGGATGCTGACACGCCCTGGATGCGTGTGGCAGACGCTGCTGATGTGGTAGCCATCGTGTCGTTCGGTAGCGAGTTGGTAGCTGCCAAGACAGACAACGCCATCTACGCTCTCAAGCCAGACAAGTCGTCAAATGGGAATCTGACGTGGGAGAAGATCTGCAGTGGACCGAAGGGGGCTCAGATCACATCGTTCGCCTCTCTGCGTGGCACGCTAGTGAGCTGTACGAGCGACGGGAAGATTTACAAGCAGGAGGGAACAGGTCGCTTCGCTTCGGGCGAGTGGAAGCTGCTGGGTGACGTCCCTGGCGCTACTGTGATCGGTCTACACAATGGCTACTTGTACGCTCTTAGTCCTACTGCCTCGTCGTGGTCACGCGCTCCACAAGATGGTACTGCGCTGGAAGCTCTTAAGTTCGAGACGTTTGATGTGGAGATGCCCAAGGCGCTTGGGATCACGTCGCACAACACTCAATTTATTCTGCTGACGTCGGAAGCTCTGCAGTTCGTGCAACAAGACGGTACAGTGAAGGCCACAGTGGCGTTGACGGAGGAAATCAAGGGAGCCAAGCTTACGGGCTTTGCGAGTCACAACGGCCTGTGCTGTCCTATGGACTCTATCCACGCGTCTCCAGTGACCGAAGGATACCGGAACAAGTGCGAGTTCAGCTTCGGATTCGACAAGGAGGACAAACCGTGTGTGGGTTTCCGTCTCGGTCTCTTCCGTGAAGGTTCCGTGGTCGTCAGTAAGCCGGACGAGTGCATCAACGTATCGAAGGAGATGAAGGCGGTGTGTGCTGTGATGCAGAACATTGTGGAGACGTCGGATGTTCCCGTGTACAGCGTCACTACCAAGAGCGGCGTGTGGCGTGTGCTGACGGTGCGTCAGAGTGTCAGTACGGGAGAACTCATGGTCATGGTGCAAGTGAACCTGGTGGGCAAGACCCCTGAAGAGCGAGCTGCAGTTAAAGATCTGGTGGTCAAGCGCTTAACCGACGAGAGCAACGCGTTCAAGATCACGTCTGTCTTCATTCAGGAGTACGAAGGGCTCTCCGCTCCTTCCGATAACGACCCGGTAGAGCACGTGTACGGCAAGACGAAGCTCGAGGAACACCTACTGGGGATGCGCTTCTCAGTCTCTCCGAACGCCTTCTTTCAAGTCAACACGCATGGCGCAGAGAAGCTGTACTCGCTGGTGAAACAATACGCCAACGCAGACGAACACACGCTGCTGTATGACGTGTGCTGTGGCACCGGTACGATCGGTATCTGCGCGTCGGAAGGTGTGGGTAAAGTGGTGGGTATCGAGATCTGCAAGCCTGCCACGGACGACGCACAGGTGAACGCAATTCTCAACAACGTCCAGAACGTGAGCTTTGTCAACTCGAAGGCCGAGGATGTGATGAAAAGTCTGCTGCAGAAGAAACGAGACGAGAGCGAGAAGCACCTGAACCGCGTTGTGGCCATCGTGGACCCTCCGCGTGCTGGTCTTCACCACAATGTGCTGCGTGCTCTGCGTGCCTGTCCGCCAGTCGAGCGTATCGTATACGTGTCGTGCAATCCCACCAACTCTCTGGTGCGAGACGCCGTCACACTGTGTGGTCCCAGCACCAAGTCCCTCCAGGGCCAGGCGTTCGAGCCCGTACACGCCGTACCCGTCGACATGTTCCCGCACACGCCACACTGTGAGATGATCATCGTCTTCGATCGTGTCAAGAACTAGAGAACGAAGCTGGAGTTAAGTTGTAAAACCCCCACTCTCATACAAAGCATGGATATCTAAAAACATGAACTCCACGTATCTATTCTATAGAGACAGGAAAGGCGTAGACCTAGTTAGTCACTGTCGCTGTCGGCCTCGTCGTCCTCTTCTTCGTTGTCACTGATTTCGAGGCCTTCGTACTCTTCTTCCTCCATCTCGTCGTCGTCGTCATCGAACGTCATCTCTTCGTCGCCAGATTTCTGTTTCTTACGCGAAGGTTTGTCGTCAGCCACTGGAATGTCCTTGAGGCCGTCAGCACAGAACAGAACGCTGTTGAGACGCTGTTTGGCGTAGATCGTGTGGCGATATTTACGTGAGTTGACGTCGAAAACGTGCACCATGCGGTCCAGTCCCACCGCCGCGATATATGGCAGTGTCGGGTGGCACGCGATGTCTCGGATTGAACCCACGGGGCCTGTGCATCGACCCATGTGCTTCAACGTACGCAGGTCCAGAATGTCCAAGTTGCCTGCTGTGTCGCCTACATACACTTGAGTCTCGTCCGGTGACACACACAGCGACTGGATAGGGTTCTCGCCGAAGTTATCGAGCTGTTGCACTGGTCTTCTCTTAGTGTTGGAGTCGTAGATCCGCACGTGGCGATGGCCTGTTCCCACAATGACACGGTGGCCATTACTGTTGCCTGGTGAGGACAGGAAGCGCAAATCTTTAACCCACACAGGCACGCGCATGTCCAGCTTGTCATGCGTCACGTTCTTAGCCTTAAAAAGGACCTGCTGCGTCTCCAAAGACCACAAGTTAAGGTCGTGTTCCTTGCCTCCTACACCAATGACCGTCTGCGTTGCGGACTCAAGTCGCATCATACTCAGGTCACCGCCCACATTAAACGTTGCGGGTTTTCCTGCTTCTTCCAGCGTACTGCGCACCAACACGTCGCCCGTGTCCGAGCATTGCACCACCGAGCCGAATTTGCGGATGACGTCGAGTCCCACACAGCGCGTGTTATGCTCCTTATCCGATGCAGGCCAGGACCAATCTGACTCCTTGGTAGAGCTTAGACTCTTGCCGTGTGACGCCTCATAGCTCTCCACGACGCCGTCAGCGCGTGCCAACACCACGTTGCGCTGGAAATCGGCAGCATCCCGCTCGTCCGCGTACCAGCAGAGACGCTGAATGCTGCGGGATCGCGCCTGAGGCTTCACGCGACTGGACAAAATACGCTGCTCATTCTTCTCCAGCTCAATGGACTTGAGCAGTCCGGTTTCGTCGCCTACAAGGACACGCATGTTGCTGCGAAGTTGAATAATGGGACTTACATGACTGGCAGCCGAGAAGAGACACATGATTGGTGGGAAATGGGTTTTATGGGATTGGATGAAAGGGGATTTCAGAGCAAAAATGGCTACACTTCCAATTTCGGCAACAACTTCAACATGACGATCAAAATGACGATCACAGTGCGTTTGTCGGAGTCATCAGCGGTTCATCTCCACAGCACCGCACTTTTCACCGGCCTCTTGTCGATCTGTTGTCAGTGATGTCAGCATAAGAAGCTCTGGGTGAAACTCGCAGCTGGTTTCGGAGTGTCAAGCATGCATCAGTTGAACCCATGACACACTACCAAGGTGGAAAAAATATGCTGCTTCGTTCTCTCGCTGTACCGACGCACTCTATCATCCTGGGTTCACCTCGTCCTGCATTGCACTCTTCTTCTTCATTCTTCAAGTTTCTTCTTGTCCCACAAGAAGCTCCGACTTCTTCGCAACACCATGGGCCAAGTCTGCTCCGGTTCCGGCGTCAGCAAGCACGTGTGCGTCCCGCGCGACCCAGCAGACAAGAAGTTGGATGCTATCTTGATCCGCAAGACCAAGATCCCCGACTTTGACGCGTTCTTCGAGTCCGCTGCTGCTCCACTCAACGAACTCGTGGAGATCCACAACAGCATCGCAGAGAGCGAGGAGGACCTCAAGTCGGCAGCTGCAGCTCTTCAAGGCGAGACCCAAGTGCGCCTCACTGTGGGTCACGGTGGCCGCGTGGCGTTGGTACTCTGGAAATTCGACAAGAAGGACCAGATTCATGTCCTCACACCCGAGGAGCGTGATGAGAAGCTCAGCGTCAGTGAAGAACTGAAAATGGCATTCGACACCAGCGACAACGTCATCACTAACCTGAACACGGCATTGGAGAAGCCTCCTACGGATGGAACGCTCTGCGAATACATTGAGAAATGTGGTCGGTTGTTTGCGACCAAGCGAGGCCAACTCGATATGCTGGTGCGTGACGTGAACGTTGCGGTGTTCACGCTTCGTAAGTTGCTCATGCTGCAGGCTCATGTCACGAGTTTGACTGAAGCTACGAAGATTCTATTGAAAGAACTGGCTAAGGTTGAGGACATCGGAGATTTGAGCATTGCAACCAACGAGAAGGGCAGCGTTAAGATCATGGACGGGGACGAAGAAATGGATCTGCGCAAGACCAAGAGGCTCAGATCACCAGTGGCTCAGCTCGTTGAAGCTATGGCTGATCTAGTGGACAATGTGGAGACTGCTGTGACCTCCGTCCCTGAACTAGCAGAGTCTTCGACAGCCTTTGTAGAGGAATCAAAGTGCCTGCCAGCGAAAATTCCGGAGGCTGTGTCCAGCTCGGGCTTGGGAATCTCTGAAATGCCAAAGGCGGCGACATCTACTACCAGCAACGTCAAAGCTCTGAGCAATGGTCCGAAGATTGCTCGTGCCACGACAGACATGGTCCAATACGTTATCACTGAGCTTGTCCAAGCTGCTACAATCCCGCGAGGTGGCTAAAGAGCTGAAGATCTGGGTCTGAATGCTCGGACGAAGGGTAGAAGTATGTGTTGGTCCAAGTACAGACTCTGTACTACAGAGAGAAGGCAAAGGAAGGAAATCCAAGTATGTAAAAAAAAAGTAGAGTTCATTCATTTCATGAAACAAGCGTAAATAGAGAGCAGCTACAGTAAGTCCAATAAAGGTTTTGGAATAGTGTTGTTGTCACACTCTCGCTAGCAGCTCGCGTTCCACCTCATGGCTCTCTTGTGTGGTCTGCGGTTGAAAAAAATCGTGCTGGTGGAGCAGCAGTCGTGCGGATACTCGTGAGTGCGTCGATGAAGTGTCAGATTCTGCTGCACACGCACTGATGAGCGTCTTGAGCGGAAACAAGTTAGCACACTGGTGTATCATTAGTGGATATTGCTACATATTGCTACAACACACCTGAGCTTTACTCGGGTGCAGGCGAAAACTAACTTGGCAAGCTGTCACGGATACTGAGAAAACCCCAATGGTTCCGCTACCCAAGGGCGAGAATGTGATAGTGCACTCGCCTGCCGTCTTGGCATGAAAGTGGAGCTCCATCTTAATACAGAAGAAGGTCAAGACTCGGTCAGTTCAGGGAATCCTCACCTATTCATCACTTTTTGTAAGAGTACAGTTACTTACAGGCGAATAGCGGCGATCGGTGCACGTCAGTACATTACTGTCAGACAGCTGACAGCTCCACAGGTCGTCGAAAAAAGGATTGCTTCCTGCTATCACAACAGCAAACGTGTCGCCACAAGAGACTTTGATTGCAGTCTCGTCTGGATATTTGCGTTTGGACTTGCAGCTGATACGATAACGGAACACAAAGCTGCGATCCAAGCGACCGAGATATCGGGTACGAAACTCCGCTAGATTTCGCGGGAGTGTGACCGGGTACAACATCGAGAATAGTATCACGGACAGGTCTTGGAGAAAAGCCTTCTCTTTTTTCTGCATCACCGTCGAGAGTGACTTGCTATAACATAAAATAATAAACAGGAGTAAGTATGTTGCTTTAAGTAAGCCGATATGCAGGCTTCTTCACCTTTGGAAGGGGTCGACGTAGTCTCCAAAATCTAGCTTGCCGAGGAAAAGGCGACGCCCCGAGTGCGATATCATTACGTTATCTGGCAGTAGGCGCTAGGAAAACTGCGAGTTAGGCACACAGTCAAGGTTGCATTCAACAAATGCAAACTTCTTACTGTCTTCAATTCGTGCGTCGACTGCTCTAGTAAGTCGATGACAGCGAGCAAAAGTTCGCGAGCGTATAACTTGAAGAGTGGCGAGGTTTCGTGGAGAACCCCTTCGTCCATGAGCATTTCCGATAGACTTCGTGCCTTAGCGCATCCAAACACGCATAAGCCATAAGGTATACTTCGAAGTATCGGTGTGAGGCATGACCTACCTGAACAAACTCAAAGTAATGTCGGGTAGTAACATCTTCCAGTTCCTGCTTCGTTGCGGATATATCTTCGCTTCCAAGGTATTGCTGAACGTATGGACTCAACGATAGCTGTCGATACGCAGACACCAGATTATTCAGCCATTTCAGAGCTCCCTCACTAACTCTCTGACGTCGTATCATCACAGCTATAGCGAGTTCTGCTTCTTTATCATCGTCATCTTTAAGTTTTGGATAGGTGAACAAAGCCATCCCAATTTGCACTTCTCGAAATTGCTCCAAAACAGGGTAAAATGTCTCTTTCAACACTCGATCGGTGCTTTCGTCGCACTGATGAAGCCTAAACTGGTGTCGGGCTCTTCGTCGGTCTTCAACGTGCAGATATTTAGTGTTCTCCTGCTGAAATTTCCACGGACATGCGCACTCGGACTCGTAAGCGTGGTCAGCGGAACCGAAGAGATCCGACTCGACCCATTTGGACACCAGGGAATCGTTTGTCACTCGCTCGAGCTCAACCAGTTTTTCTCGAAGTGTTTCTGCTTGGGTGATGGCTGGAGTCAAGCAGCTGACATTGATGGGATCGGCTTCTTGCTGTGCGCCGATCACTTGACGAAGGAACTGGGTCTACCAAAAAAAATCATCTTTAGTTTGCACTCTATCTATGACAGGTGGTTCTTAGACAACGTACTTTTTCCTTGAGCTCATCGATAACGTCATCTACGTTAGTGCAGCTCGGAGTTCCCACCCACTTACAGAGATCGCGTTGGAAGAGCTCGAGAGTATGGGGCTGTCCTTCATGCTGGTCCAACATCAAAGTTTAATTCTGAAAGCTACGCGAGTCTTGGACACGGCTTTTACTCACCTCTCGCCTAAATCTGTGGAATATTTCATCGCTCAGGAATTGTTTTTTCACAAGCAAATCGAGAAATTGCACCCTACGATTCACCAAGCACTGAGTCAAGCTTTATTCAAACACAAAGCACGCGTTGTAGCCGTTTCACCATTGCTGGTCGTTTAGAGCCATCGACCCGCGGCCTGATCGATCGAACGCTACTTGATACGGATCATTGCGAGCTTCTGCCATCAGGATTTCTGCGCTCGAAGCGTCACGTCAGTAATTTTTGGCTCGAGTTGTCAGTTATTAGCGATGAAGTTCAGGGCAAAGCTAGTGCTTCTAGTGCTCGCTCTGGCTGCACAAGTGGTCTGCTGTACTGTGTCTCTCGTTCGAGAGGACTTGAAAGAAGTCGCAACGCCGCGGGGGTCTCCAATTGACGAAGGTTCGATGCAGACGATATTACACGGCGTCCAACAAGAGCTACCCGAGTCATTGTACCTGTTGGCGATGATGAAATTCTACGGCCACGGTGTCGATCAAAATGTGGAAGCTGCAGTGACGTTGCTGAGCAGAGCAGCGGAGCGTGGTCATCGTGACGCTGAATTCGCTCTTGGCGTGTTGTATGGGCGGGGAGAGGGCGTTGTGCACAGTGACACTTTGAGTGCCTCGTGGCTCGCAAAGAGTGCTGCACGCGGTCATATTGACGCGAAATGGATGCTAGCCGCGTTAGTATTCACTACGCGTAAAATTTATCGAACTTCTCAGACTTCTGTACTAATAACGTTTTGTAGGATGTACAACGAAGGACGAGGAGTTGATGAAGACGTACATCGTGCGGTTAAGTTACTGCAGGATGCAGGGAATCCTCAAGCCAAGTTTCATCTCGGTGTCATGTACGAGTACGGTCGTGGCGTAGCACAGAACTTCAAGACTGCAGCCGAGTTATACCGCCAAGCTAGCGAGCACCAAGTACCCGACGCGTTTTACAACCTCGGTCTGCTGCACCTTCAGGGTCGAGGTGTAGAGCAAAACTTTGAACATGCACGGGAGTATTTTCAACAAGCTGTGGATCTTGGCAGTGCGCAAGCCATGTACGCTCTGGGTCAAATGCACGTCCACGGTCAAGGATCATCGATAGACTACTCGCAGGCGCTCTACTGGCTCAAGCGTGCCGCTGTACAAGATGACGTCCGAGTCAGCTCTACCGCGCACACCGTGGCGAACGAGATCGAGCTCGTGCTTAGTCAAGCGGAGCTACAGGTGCAGCACAGCGAGCGATTACTTGGAGTACCCATTCGCGTACAAATTGGTACAATTGACGGAAATTGATTAAAAAAAGTGTTCCATCAGCTTAAATTGCTGCGTATATTGGGTCTATCAATCTACGAGGACTTGGGCTCGGCGGCAAGCGCGCGCTCCAGGTCGGCAATGATGTCCGGGAGGCCCTCGATGCCGACGGACAGACGGATAAGGCTGTCGGAGATGCCGATCTCCTTACGCACCTCAGGGGGCACCGAGGCGTGGGTCATAATAGCGGGGGACTCAGCCAGCGACTCGACGGCGCCAAGACTCTCGGCCAGAGTAAACACCTCGAGGTTCTCTAGGAAGGCGCGAGCCTTCTCCAGACCGCCGTGCACGTAGAACGTCACCATGCCGCCGAAACCAGACGCCTGTGTCTTGGCGATCTCGTGCTGCGGGTGGGACTTGAGACCCGGATAGCACACCTTCTCGACGGCAGGGTGAGCCTCCAGGTACTCGGCAACAGCCTGTGCGTTCTTGGCGTGAGTAGCCATACGCACGTGCAGCGTCTTAAGACCACGCAGAGCCATGTAGCAGTCAAAAGGAGCGGGCACAGCGCCGATGCCGTTCTGGACGAAACGCAGCTTAGTGTTAATGTCTTCCAAGTTAGTGATCACCACTCCACCCACAACGTCGCTGTGGCCATTGATGTACTTGGTGATACTGTGCACGACAATGTCTGCGCCCAGAGTCAGAGGGTTCTGGAAATAAGGCGACATGAAGGTGTTGTCCACGACCAGAAGCAGGTTGTGCTTCTTGGCGAACTCGGACACAGCGCGGATGTCCGTGATCTTAAGTGTCGGGTTGGTAGGAGTTTCGATCCAGATGAGTTTGGTCTTGCCAGGACGCAACAGCGTCTCGACCTTGTTCAGGTCGCTGAAGTCCGTGAAGTCAAAGTCGATATTGTAAGTAGGGTTGACCGTCTGGCGGAAGTAGCGCTGAGTGCCGCCGTACACGTCGTCAATGCACAGCACGTGGTCTCCGTGCTTCATCAGGTGCGTCACGGCCGTAGTGGCGGCCATACCCGACGAGAAGCACACAGCGAAGCGGCCCTTCTCGCAGGCAGCCAGCGCACGCTCCAGAGCGCCACGCGTCGGGTTGCCCGTGCGCGAGTACTCCCAGCCCTTGCCGAACGAATTGTCCTGGTTGCGACCAGTCACCACGCCAGGGGACGCCTGCGCAAAGGTGCTGGCAAGCGTGATGGGCACAGCCACGGCGCCCGTGTGCTCGTCCGGGGCCTGGCCCTCGTGGATGGCCGTAGTGCCGAAGCCGTGGTGCTCGTCGACGTACTTGGAGGCGGCGCTGCTCATTCTTTGATCGGGTGGATGGAAGTCACTTGTGCTTGAGGAGGCAACTTGGAGAATGACGTAAGCGGAAACTGTGGACGAACGGATCGGGTGTGCCACATCCTGCCACACCAAAGATCTGATTGGGCAAGGAAACAAACACATAACCAGGTCGGAGAAGTGTCTCGACTCGTCTCAAGCCGCACGTGGCAACCGAAACGACAGCTCTGCGCATGAAATTCTTTGGGCGATGGTGACGTCATGCCAGTGATAATCACTCCTCTACGCTGTGCTCTCTGTTGTCTGGCAAGCTGTCAGACTGTGTGCGTCCCAGCCGTTGCAGCAGCGAAGGAAGAAAGCTGTGCTGCAATGCTGTTCAACTTGAATTTCAGTATACTCGTCGACGAAGGGCTTACATGTACTTACCGCCTCGCTTTTGCTGGTACAGTAGTAGCCCGTGTCATCCTTCAAGATTCTTGACAAGATGGCCCAAGATCTGAGAAGGCGAAGTATTCATTCCGCAAGTTGTTGTTGTGTAGATGGAGCAATCTGTCGATTGGGTTTTATTCCTAACTAAGCCTATTCTGGAGACTCTGTCTTCATTCGACGATCTCTGATAATTTCTACCATGACTCGTTCCTTGATCTGCTTGCTGTTCGCTCTGCTGAAACGATACATCGGGTAGGGACTCAGAGGAATGCTGACTGAAACACTGATATTGAATGCACGGCCAGCATCCGATCATCAATGCGACCTATGTACAGTAATTGATAAATATCTTTATTAAGCATACTTATGAAGTAATAACCCGGAATTTGTCATCTTCGTATTGCTGGCGCGGTATCTGTTGAAGTCAAATTGAGTTGCATTCACAAATGACCGAAGGTTGGAGATTTAAAGAAATATTCTTGGCATAGCCAAACCACGAAGGATTGTATGTTAAAAACACAGATAAGTATCGATATGCTATGGTGAAAACACAAGAGCGCTGCAGACCTGAATCAGATCGCCTGATCACCTTTTAAAGAACGATTATATTCACATTTAAAGCAATTGCGTAAGCTCATCACGCAGGCTACGGAAGCCCGCCAGTTCGTCGTCAAACATTGAGGGTGGTGGTACGACCTCTTGCTTTGCGTCTGACGTTTTATAGTCTTCTTCTGCAGATCTTGACGGCGTCAGGGTGGACGACGACTTGTTTAACCGCGGTGCGTTCTTCAATTGATGAAGAAAGTTACCAACTGATGCAGTGTCCAGCGAACCGCCAGATAAACGGCTCAAACTGCTGCCTGCGCCCGTGGAGACGGAGTCCACCGCCGTATTAGCGCTGGACGAGCTATCGTTTATCACAAATGGCAAAATCATCGCGTCCAGATCGTCATTTTGGTCACCACTTGACTCAAATCCTGCGTCCACATTTGCTGACGAGAATAATTGGCGGTCTCCAGACACAGAACTTTCGGTATCAGCAAGTGCGAGACCAAAGGCATCAGGCGTATCCGGCGATACTCCCCATGCTGTCACACCACTGTCGCCGAAATCAGGCGAGAACCCACGATGCTTTGCAGCAATTATACCAGCCGAGGGAGGCTCCTTCGCGTTGTGGACGCCTCGTTGAAATCGATCGGTAGTGACGAATGTGGGCACGTTGCAGGAGCTCGAACGAAGCTGACTCTTGGTGTATGCATACCCAGGAGATGTGGACAGCAGTTCACACGGATTGGCTTGAAACGGAGGACTCGCAGTGAACACAGGCAAACCTTCTGCGGGCGAATGCGACGGTCTTGGAAGGATAGTGATTGCTTCCGTCTTCGTTGCAGGTTTTATTAGTGGCGTGGCATCCTCCGCTCTCTGTGCACCACCGTCTGCTTCTGCTGTTGCGCTGGATTCGGCACTGTCAGAGACAAAAGCGCCACTGAACGAACTCTTTCTGCGTTCAGGTGCATGTTGTTGTGCGAGTGAGGGCAGCCCAGTGTCAAGAGCAAAGCGCTCGAAAGATCCAGGCACAGGAGAGTTCTCAAGGAACAGTTTGTGGATCAACGCTGGAGACGTACGATCATTCCGCAGCAATGATACAGTCTTTGGGTGACGGGGAGGAGTGGACATGGGATGATAGCCCGCGCTGCTATGGCTAGCAAGGGCCTCGTCAAAGGATGTTCGAGACGAGTGCAGTCCAGTCTCAGTATCGTGACGGTCTGCGTGGCCCTCCCATAGTTGTTGCTGCCTTTGTTGGAACGCCAGAGACGGCGATGACGTACGTTCTTGGTCGCGATCAATTGCCACATTCCCGTAGCCATACGGCGCAGCAGCCACATTAGGATTCGCAACCGCACCGCGTAAACGAGCATCATGTTCACCTCCATACGAGTGCGCCTGTTGAAGTACTGCCTCCACATTTCGACCGGCAGCAGTAGCGACGCCTCCTTTACTGCTAATTCGTGGGATGGCCATTGGTTTCGACATGCCTGGTTGGGTCTGCACCACTCCATCGTCCTCTGCAAGACCATCACGCACAGGACCCGTAGTACTGAACTGCGCAGCTGGAATCGACCGAGGAGATGATCGTCGACGCTGCAGAGCCCCAACATCGAATTGCTGCGTATCGCTCACGGGCACAAACGAGTCCGTGCGCAGATCCGTCGCACTCAATGGCGAACCAGCCATCGCTGCGCTTGTGACGGGCGCACTAGCAGCTGTCAACTCTGGTGAACCTGGCACATAGTCCTGGATAATGAAATTATCCGGTAGAATCCGTGACGGCGCTGCCTGCTCTTGTTGCTCTGTGAATTGGTCACAGTCGCGTCGATACACTGCAGCCACTTTCAGCCGTCCAAACGGCGTCATAATGGGTACAAAAGAGTATCCACTAGTGGCTACACGTTCAGCCTCAAACGCTCGCGTCGCAGCACTAGCCGACGCTGTGTGCATCGAGTAACTTAGCATCGAAGGGTACGACTGAGTGAAGAGTCTGTGCGCTGGGAGTTGCCGCATGAAGGAGAACAGTGCACGTAGCAGTACACTGATTCTCTTGCAGACTTCTTTAAGCTGCTGGATCACGTCTTGTGTAGAGCCCAAATGAGCGCTGGAGCTCTCTCCGTCAGCTGTGAAGGTGACGCTCCAGCGTTCCAGCAGCACCTTGCGACTGCCTGTGTCCCAGAAAATATCAATTGTTAGAGGTAAACGCACGTCTTCTTTCCATGGAGTCATAGAATCTCGGACAGCTTGGACTTCTTCGATGTCCAGGTTGAATCTGGCTCGACGATTGCTGCGGCGAAAGTCTGGCTCGGCGTGGAAGTTGACGCGACTCTGTACGATGAGTTCTGCGGCTTTGTACAGGAACTCGAGCACCACTTGCTCCGTCTTGGCTCGGCCGGCTACGTAGAAGAAATAAATAAGCGATACTATAGACGAGAATAAGTTCGTTGTGACGTACTGGAGGAGCGCGGAGGCGGCGCGGCGTAGCGCATGGTCTGACCGCTGTAGCGGTTGTCAAAGCCTGATAATTGCTGGGATGAGGGATGAGATGATTGACTTGCATTCGACATGTCCACAGACGACATCATGGCCTGTCGAGAGAGACGTATAGGTAGACAGACACTGGAGGTGCGAACGACGTTTTCTGCTTTCTTGGGAGAATTATCAGTCTGAAAAAGGCACAGGATTGGCAAGCTGCCTACGCAATTACAACCAATTGGAGACCGTGTATTTACTGCTCCTCTTAATCAACCGAGATCTTCTTTTTGGATTTTCGAAAAGTAGAGAAAATATCTGCAAATGAGACCGCGCAAAAAAATTAAAGTTGGCTAATTGATTTTCGCCGGAGCTGTAGTATTCGGCGTAAGCTTCCATCGAAAAAACTGTAAGACTACCCTTATTCAATTGCTTTTACAGATAGCAAGTGCTTTCAAATATTAATAGCACTTTAATTTTTAAAAACGAAAAAAAATTGAGCTTACAACACATCTATTAATAAATGGATCGTCATTTTGAGGGCCATGGATGGAGATAATATTTTTGAGCGACCACAACTTCTTCAATTTTAAGCATTCTGTAGCTTATAAGGGCTCATGAAAAAGAGGAGAGTGCTTAAATCGCGATTCGTACTTAGGTTCGTAAGCCAGAGGTCGTAAATAATAATTGCAATTCAATAAATTTTTGGGTTTTGCAATATAAATATGTATCATTGGTAGCTGACCTTATCAATACAATATGGTATTGGACCAATTATTGACAATAAATATGGCAAAAGGTTCCCTGGTAGGAACCGTCTAATTGTTTCGATATGACATCACCCATCAGATGTTATGACATCATTTTCGTTGCTCACCACACCATCTCCACGCCAACCTGAAACCGGTGGCTACGAGAGTGTCTGGTAAGCTACGATACGCGAGCCACAACTCAAACTTCACTTCATTTTCGAACTACGATGGTCCTAAACAAGCAAATCGCCGCCTACTTCTTCACATCACTTGGTCAAGGGCTGTTTCGCTGCAATATTTGCGGCTACGAGCGGAAACAAACTGGAGGGACAGGGTACTTTAATCTCAAGTCGCATCTGGACGCGAAACATGCGGGGTATCACACTTCGTTCGAGAGCAGTTCAGGTCGCTCACTTCAATCATACGGCTTCGTATCTGAAGAAGCTAGCCATCTGTTCCAGTGTATTCAGTGGGTTATCAAGAGGAACATGCTGATCCACGAAGCTGAATAAATATTGATAAATTTGGATACCGTGCCATAATTTAGCTAAACTAATAGCACAAAATTATTAATTGTTACATCATTCCGATGAATCACTTATAAACATATATTCTAACAAGATGCCCAGTCAAGAAAACTATTCTTGACTCGCCATCTTGTCGAGAATAATCACCTCATATCAGGAAGGTGATGTGTCGTCCTCTAGATAAGAATTGTAGGCCCAGCCGCTGCCTGACATAGTGCACTTGTGAAGCAGCAACTTCATTTCCAGACTTGCCGGCAATTCCAAGAGCAAACAAAACACGCAGCTCCACGCACTTGCTAACGCCAAACGACAGAAGAAGATGAAACATACAAGTCTACCTGACAGCCTGGAGCAAAGTTTGCAGGGGCTGGAGGAGGAAGCAGCTGAATTGCCCTGGTGCCGGCCTTTCTTGAGGCTCTCCAAGATAACACGGACGCAGAAGATGAAACGTCAGAATTCGAAGATGGCCCCGACTCTTATGTTACTGATTTAATATACGCTAAGAAAACTAGTCAAGACGGGCAAGACTACTTCTTAGTTTCTTGGGTGGGGTTTTAAGAACTAACCTGGGCAGACCTACCACAGAACATGATAGCGACTTTTAATGATGAGGAGCTTGGCGTGGCTTGGCCAGTCGACTATCGGGCCAGTATACTCACGGGGATCATGGCTGGTGCAAGAGTACAAGACATAGCTAGATATTGCTCCAATACATTTAAATTGCGGCAATTTTTATTATTGGAAGTGCTCATATTGGAATATTTATTGCGGCAACACTTTGCCACCAATACAATACAGTATTGTATTTTTCGACCTCTGTCGTAAGCATCGCTTTGTTTTGCGCGGTCTCATTTAATAGAGAGCTTTAGCTACTCAGGCTTTGGAATAAGATTTTTCTTCGTCCAGAAATCGATCGGTATTCTATCCGTCATTTATTCAGATTTTATCCAGATAATCGCTATTCCGTTATGGAAGTGCCTCGATCCACCAACTATTTTTGTAGAAAAAGTACAATCTGAAATACCGACTTTACCCTAACCACACAATTGCTTTTTTCGATTTTTAAAGTTTAGACATTTCAAACCGTTCCTGTTCGCTCATTTCTTATCCCCCGTTCGCTTAAATGGAAGACGCGAAGAAGATCAAGCGCGCGCCAACGCCAGGAGGCGAGCGCAGCAGCGAGGGAGACACGGCGCATGACAAGAAGCTTGCTGAGGGAAGGGACGAGATAACATCGGGGGGCAGCGGCGTAGAGTCACCAGGGGCCAGCACGCATCGGCCAGCAAAAAAGACGAAGAGGAGCGTCACCGACGCTGATGCCATCCCGCCAGTTGACGGAAACTCCCGCGATCCAGACGACGCTGATCAAGCCGAAGTTCGTGTGATGTGTGAGCCCTTCGCTGGGGTATTCGACTCGTGGGATGATATGGAGGCGGCATTCAGCGGGTATGTACAATTATTTGCAATTAATTTTATTTATCAATTTTGTTTTAATTAATAATTTTGTTTTGTTCCTAGCTACCAGCGCGATACATTCCAAGTCTACAAACTGCGGACGAGCAACTCAATTAGAGATCGCAATCGAACTCGTGCTCGGCAAGCGGAGGCTCGTGGAACGCAGCCAAAGTTATGAGATGAAGCACTGCGGTACTACACGAAGGGATGGACATGCACTCACGGAGGTCAATTCAAGCCTAAAGGGCAGGGGAAGCGTACGAATCACACAACACGTCGAATTCAGTGTCCTGCGAAGCTGAATGCATTGTTGTTCGTCGACGAGGATGGCTCTTTTCGCGTGCGCTGAAGCTGCACGATTCCACACACACAACCACGCCATCGGCAAGAACGTGTTCAACACATACGCAGAGACGCGGAAGATCACGTCACCTGCTACTCGAAGTGTGCTCGGACAATTTGGCAAGGTACGTCGCAAGCAACCAGGAAATTGTTTTATTATTTACGTATCACTAAGTTTGTTTTTATGAAGGTGGAGCCAAGAGAAAAAAGAATCCTCCGATACCTGAAAGATGTATCTGGAAAGCCGATTCAAACGCAAGATGTAAACAACATGATCGCGGAGATGAGACGTGAGTCCTACACCTCGCCTGACGCCAACATTCGCGTTACGGAGCTACTACAGGACTTCAGCGAGGGCCCCGGTAACGTGGTGAGGGTGTACCGAGACACGGACTCTCAGTTAACGAGCTGTATTGCCTTCCAGACGAGTCATATGAGACGCATGGCGCGTCTGTTCCCTGAGGTGGTCTGCATTGATGCTACTCATGGCACGAACATCAACAGGTGGGCAGAATGACGTAATTGGTTTGGTTGGTGACTCTGTTGGTATAGTTGGTATAGTTGGGAAATAATTGGATACCCAATTGCGCTACCAGTTACTATACCAACTACTATACCAATTACTTACCAATCATGTTTATTTAGCTTATATTATCATATCTTTCTAACCATTCTCAACTATTCCTTTCTAGGTATCGGCTTTTTAGCTTCATGGTGACGGACAAATTCGGGTGTGGAGCGTTTGCGCAGCATTCACTGATTGATGGTGAAACTGAACAGAACATGAAAATGTTACCGTGTCGCCATATTATATTTCTGCGGCTTCAGCAGTCAAAATCTACGGCTATTCCCTGCGAAAATATCCCGCCACGATGGTGCTTGCTTGAAGAAGATGAGGATGCTGACCTGCGCCCAGTGGAGGTGTCTAGCTTTGCGATTGCAGACGTGCCTGGGGTGAAGTCATCAAAAGTGATTTCACACAATGCCAAGTACAAGAACGCATTAGCCGTTTGCCAACGGATCGCAGAAGTCGTTGCTGACAAAGGGACGACAGACTATAGTCGATGGCTTTCGCATCTTGAGTGCCTCGAGCGGAACGCTAGAGATAATGGGAACCCCGTACCGGTTGGTGCGGATGATAATTGTGGAGAAAGCAACATGATTAATGACTCCGACCTTGCGCTGCACGAGCCAATTACGCTCTCTGAAATTGAAGACGAGTTTAGCGGTCTTCAACTAATGCATGCAGTCCGTGGTGTTCTGCCTGGTAAGTTTGCTATCTTGTGCTCGCGTTGGTATAGTTGGTTCAAAATTGGTTTGATGGGTAAGCAGTGGGCTATAGTTGGGAGTCGTGTACCAATTACCAATTCAGCACCAATTACCAACGACACGATACCAACTATTGTGTAAATTGAAACTAACATATATATGAACCGTTAATTGTAGTTGCGCTAGTTAACAAGTGTATCACTGCAATTGAAAACGTGATACTCCGCGAGAAAGCAAACAATGGGAGGGATGTCTCCCATGACGATGTTGCCGTGGTGATTTTGAAGGTGGGGACATTTCGGGCAAACGATATTGCAATTATGCAGCAATGGCATTCCATGGCATCCGTTGTTCGTGGAGCAAAGGCGCTGGTATCATGGATTAAGAGTGTGAAGTTTGAAAATCCTGATGAGGAGGAAGAGAGAAATGCGATTGTGGAGACTGTTTTAGAGTTAGATCTACGTGGGTCAGTTAATTCTGGTGGAGTATCCGTGGAATTTGCCGAGCTTGCTAGATTTGGCAACGATGGATGGCTCAGTGATCAGTGTCTGATGGGCGCAACGCAACGAATTGCAGCAGAGGCATCGTGTAATCCCCCTCCAAATATTCACGTAATCAACCCGACGTTTTCGCATTTCGAGGATGATGACCAGCGCAATCGACTCTTAGACACAAAGAGCCAGCTTTTCAGCAAATGTCACGATGGTTTAGCAATGCTGTGTTCAATCTACATTAATATCGACTACGGACATTGGTGTGGAGTTATAATTGATATTAAGAGACGCGTGATCTGGATCTACGACCCCTTTCACAGGAAGAAACACGAAGATGAGGTGAAAAGGAAGGTGGTTAAAGTATTTTTGGAGCTGGTCGACCCAGCCTACAAATTGGAGATTCGAGAATTTCGCGCGTGGCCTCAACAAGACGGATTCAGTTGTGGCGTATATGTGGCTCACTGGTTCGACTACTACGTGTCAACATACATATTGTCACCAGACAAGATTGTATCTACTGATACGGAACCATTGTCAGAGAAAGAACTGGAGAGAATTCGCTACAAGATCTTCTGCTATGTACTCTTCGGGATGCAAATCAAGAATACTTCTAAGTAACTACAAAGAAAAATGGATTCTTGTTACTTTTTAATGCCTACTTTCTAATAAAAAACGGCTTAGGCCCGGTATTAGCCAGCGAAAAATGGTGGATTTGGCTCTAGTGGCCCAATAGAATCCCAGGGATGCAGATGTTGGTGGACACCGGATGGGGCCACCAAAACGGAATCAGATCCACGTCCACCGTCGAAAATTAGGGGTGGTGGCCGTGGACGGAGGGTGGATGGAGGGAATACTCACCACGCTGGAGTGCACCACGTCAGAGGTAGAGGTAGCAACGGGATAGAATATTATCTTTGCACGACACTGTCGTGTTCACTCCATCTTTTCTACTCAAGACCACAACCGCCTCAGATCTTCGGTGTACACTGTCCAATATGTCATCCAGCGCTGCAACCCAACAGGCCATGCCCAGCATCGCCGATATCCTCGTCGACTCAACTGTTACTCCGGAGGACGCTGAAGCTAAATTGACGACGTTTGGAGCAAAGCAGTTGCGGACTGAGTGTTACTTGCGGCAGCTTCGCATTGTTAAGAAGGGTGCTGACTGCAACGACCACAAGGTTGGGTATGTGGCGCTACTCGTACAGCAAAAACGTGCATTCGCTGAAATGCAGAGACTTGGAGTTGAGGACGGACCGTCCAAAACATTAGGTGCCGCTGGAATCAAACGACGTACACGCCACTGCATGATTCGCCTTCTCAATGTCATGTTTTCTGAGACTTTTGCGGGCCGAGTGCATGAAATTGACGGCAAACCAACGCGGGCAGAGCTGGATTCTAACCAAACGCATGCCAGATCCTCATTTTGGACGGACTTTCATGACGCCTATCTTAGCGATCGAGCTGAATTCGGCAAACTCAACTCGACGCTCGCCATGTTTGCCAAATATAACCCAGCCTTCATTGTACCTCATGACGCAGCAAAACTTCGCGATATGTGGAAGGACGTAAGTAGTCGATACAATATTGCTTTAGCTAACTCCCGCGTGTCAGGTACACACGACAACGACTTTTTCTCTTTTTGTTCCGGGAAGATCGACGTTCTGTACATGCACGAGTGGCTAAGCATCAAGCCCGGAGTATTGGAGACTGTAGAAGGCAAGCTTCCTAAACGCGCCCGGTTGCAAACAATGGATACAAGCAGTGACAGCGAAAGCGAGAGTTCAAGAGAGTCTAAGAGGAAGTGCACCCGATCCAGGTCCAGCCCTAGCAAAGATGATTTGGTGTCAGAAATTTAAGAGACAATCCGGAGTAGCAACAAGTCTGCTGAGGCATTGGAGATAGACTGCCGCTTTACTCAGCTTGTCTCCACGTTGAGCTCTCTGCTGTCATTACGAGAGAGGATTATGAACGCACCTGACGGCAGCTACACTAAAGATGATCTTCAAGATGTCAACGATGATATTGCACATGTTCGAGCTAAGAAAAGAGCGTTGTTAAAAGACCAGTCAGAGTAGACGTACGTTCGAGAAAAAATGAAGGAGCTGTTAAACGATTAATCGATCCAGTAGAAGTCGTCCTTGTAACCTCAACTGCTCATGACGATCCAGTGGATCTTCCAATCTTCCACGCCGTAGCCCACTACCAACACCTCGTGGTTGACATCGTTCTAAACAGAGCGACACTCCGTCGACTCGTACACTCCCGACTTGTATAAACGGAAGTTGGGCCAGTAGAACCCACAGAGACGCATTGAAAGGAGGTGAAAACACGAGGCGGGAGTCATGTTGGATTCTACGAATGAAATGAGATACCTACACTGGAAGAGGGACAAGTGGCCACGAAATCTGGTACGTCTATGGTGCTGGGCGAGACAGCCGTCGTGCAAGCACAATATCGGATATTACATTCAAGTTGTTCGGTAAAGAATGTTCTAAAACGATGGAGAATTTCTGTATGTAAACGAACTACACAGCGTTGCGGCGTTTATTATACTGGGGTCTAGTGGATTGGTTCGCTCGAAGTGTTTCGACAATGAAGTCTCTCATACTGCTGCGTCCTTCTTCGAGTCGAAGATCGCTCGACATGTAACCCATCAGATTGGAAACATCATTGAACTTTCGAGTTCGGCTTGGTACCCGAAGCGGTCGAATAGTATCGTCAAAAATACAATAGTCATTGTCGGTGGCCATGCGCTTGTTGATAACGTAGTTGTGGAGCACCATAGCGGTGTAAATGGCCTTCGTGGCGTTGCCTAGGTTACGCTCTATTGGCATCCTGAAAACTCTCCACTTCGTCGTTAAAAGTCCGAATGCCATCTCGATCCGAATTCTCAATTGACTAGCGTGAAAGTTGAACGAGTCATGATATTCATCCATTATCTGGTTGCGAGAAAACGGCGTGAGTAAATGCTCACCTACAAAGTAAGCATTGTCTCCAATGATGTACATCCCAGTAGGAAGCATATCCAGTGCCCTGGAGACGCCAGTGTCACGAAATGCACGGGCATCATTGGTGCTACCCGGAAAGCTAGCATCGATTGCAATAAACCGACAGTGAGCATCACAAACGGCTTGTACGTTAATGCCAGGGTAAGCGTAATGACCACTATAGTAGCGACCAACACCGACTTCGCCAGCATCAGCAAGGGTTGGTGTCTTTATACGACAAAGCCAACCATCTACACAGCCAATGCAACCACTCATTACACCACCGCTGCTAATGTTCTTAAACGCCTCCATCACCACCTCTTTCTCTGAGTCCGAATTGGGGAAAGTTATCTGAAGCTCCTCAAGAGCAAGAATCGCACCCATTGTCAGATCGATCACACGATAATACGAGGGCGAGCTGATGCCAACAGTACGACGTATATCAAGGTATGATCCCCCCGCCAGGTATCGCAACGTCGTCATCAGCATTATCGAAGGCGATATGGGTGCTTCGCCACTCGAATTAGTTGATTGCTGCTCGGATACAGTGAGGGCTGGTGTAACGTTCCACAGTAAATGACTAAAACTTTCTGCAGACATGCGAAAGGTTCGTTCAAACATGTTTTCATTTAGTAACATCTCGATTTCACAGTCCACATCGACCCGCTGCCGCGACACTCTCGGCTTCCTTGGTCGTCGCCACGTCAGTACAAAGAGAAGTAGTACGAGGTGAGTGTTCTTTTGCCGTCGAAGGCGTCGAGCGACGGAGATGACGTCTTGCGCGATCATGTCTGCGCTGGACGAGGTTTCGATTTCTGTTGTTAAATGTGTCGAAGAGAAAAGGGCCTTGCTCTAGCGCGCTTTTCGATCTAAATAGACGCCTTCAAATTAGATGTAAACCATCCCGCCCTCAACTGATCCACCTGGGCCATCCACTAAGTTTTAGCTCCGATCTTAGCGAGTGGCATGTGTGGACACGCAGAAAAAGTGCGATCCACCAAAGAGCTCGTCCACTAGCAAGTTTTCGCTAATACCGACCCTTAATCTATATTAAAGCGCCCGCCCCCACTTTTCTTCTTTTAATCCTACTTCTCCTTTTGCGTGTATCAGTCTGCACTATAACGTTGGGGATTCCGACACATTTCCTATGTTCGAATAAAACTTATTTGACATTGTTGACAAAAAAATAACATGTATGCGTCACCTATGTAATATACTTAAATTGGTTTATAGTTGGTCTTGTAGGAAAAACCAACTCGTAGAGATTCATACCGACAGTCATACCGGTACCTTCTAACCCTAAGCTCACATGTGTTTTTCAGATTTCGTGCATTTTATGGCGAAATAGTTGGTGGATGCAACGAGTGCCTTCCGTTATTCCAGAAACTAAAGTTCTCTAATGTCACCTAAAAGCACGCGTGTGTTTTAACGTCATATACGGTCCTATTAAAGTGTCAAAAAACGAAGTTTACCGGTAAGTACCACTTGTTAAAGTAGTTCCCTTAACATTTTTAGTACTTATGCCAGAGCCATTGCTGAATCTATCGGCGACCAACACGTCTATCATTTCTGCGTGAGGAACAGGCAACTGTCCATAGCACCACGAAACGCATCGCCCACTGCGGCATGTAGCTCTTCAGGGGCGATGTCATCACCGCTGGGAGTGGCGTCACGCCACTTGGAGCGCGTCCGCAGACCCTTGAGATATCGCAGCAAGCTCAGATCGCCCTGAGGAAGCGCTAGCAATAGTGTGCCCTTGGGCAACACCTCATCTCGAAGCTGTTTCAGGAACCCATCCACTTGCTCGCAGTACGCCTGCTGCTCAGCCATCCAGAGATCGTGCTTGCCTACGAAGTCGTTACACAGCGCCGCGCTCGCACTAGGAGGCTCGATCTCCACCCAGCAAAGGTCTGGCTGTTGCATGTCTCCGCTTGACTGGGCACTCAAGGCAGCATGAAGGCTCGTCTTCAGTGTCTCCCACGACAAACAATTCTCCACCTTCAAGATAGCGTTTGCCGTAGCGGAGATTGAGTCTGATGGCACTGTTGAAGAGCTGGTGTCGGCCTTAGCCTTCACTGCTTGAGCATGGCGGAACGCACTCTGCGACTGAGCCTTCAGATCGCCACTAGCGTACAGTTCCCACGGCTTTCGTTCCGCTACTGTCGTCTTGGGAGCTCCATCTTCCGTGAGCTCCCCATTGCTTTGAAGACGTAGCATCGTCATCTTTTTCTCGAAGGCAAAGGATTTATCCAAAATGGAATCGAAAGCGCCACCCGTGGAGACTGACTCGGGGATGCCGAACCAAGGGCCTCGACGAACCTTCAGCACCAACAGCTCCAAAGCTGCAATAGCGTCTTCCGCCGAGTCATGTCCAGCCTGAGTCTGAATCTGGATATCCTTCTTTAGATATGTCTTCGTCAGATACTTAAGCGAGGTGCGGAATGGGAAGCCACGTTGATGAGGGTACAGGATGGCTGTGTCTCCGATCGTAGAATGCACTAGTCGAAGAGCACGCAGGTCACTCGTCAACGAGTGACCCACCAGAATGGTGTCCTTGAAGAGGAGCCGAGTTGTCAGATCCCTCTGCACGTCCGCCAGGGTGTACTTCGTATCCCGCAGAGTCTCCTCGGAGATGCCGCTGAACTTTGTGTGGTAGTTAATGATAGTGCTTTGTGGCTTCACCAGCTGATCGTACACGACGTTGCCTGTGATGTCTACAGCCGTCACACGCGTGAGCTCCATGCCGATATCCGTCTCGCACATCTCACAGTCCAGAGCATAAATGAATTCCCCACTTGAAGACGCGCTTGCTATAGTTTCATCCGTCTCCATCGCTGCTCCTTCTTCGTCGTCTGAGACAGAGGCAGACTCTTCAACTATGATTGCCGAACGTGGCTGCGTTGCCACGTATCTGTCGCGAGTATTCCCCTGCGTCGCTTCTAACAGTTTGCGCTGTTCCTCCTCTACATCTGTCGGGAATCCGTGCTGCTTCAGCTCTTCAGGTGTAAGTACATAATACTCGAATGCTTCTCGCTTCAAAGGCTCGTCCTCTCGTCCATCCTTGCCATTCGTCTCCGTCGATTCGGCTTCCTGTTTAAAATCTTTTGACTGTTCCTTTTGAAGAAGTAGCGATCCATCGGCAGAGCGTGGCACGTCTACAGCAATCGCTTTAGCTAGTGACAGCCAGATCGAGCGCGGCTTGTCGTCGCCCCGACGTTTCTTGGCAAGATGCTCTGGTACCTTGTGCGCGTAGGTCTCGTCCGTCACTGGGTCCGTCCTGAGCTCGTGCATGCTGCCGTCTTGGCTGACTAGCACATCCAACGTATACGCATCGTCTTCCTCTTCCTCCATCGCAGTATCCTGGTCTGTCGGGGTCTCATCCACTGCAGCAGGCGCTTTGACCGTACGCTGTCTCCACTTCAGATGCAGCAAGTCGCCGTCAATTTCCCATGTTCCTCCCAGTGGCTGATTCTTGCGTGTAAACTTCCCTGCTGGGGTAAACACCAGTTCATCTGTAAATCCAGCCGAGTGTTTCATCAAGAACGTCAGTTCATGGGCGTAGAACAGCTCATCCGTCGACAATTCGTGGGTATCTACCGTCGGTCTTGGGAATTTGTACATCAATTCTGACAGTGGAGCTTCGGATCTCCTGATCTGGCTTCCTTCTTGCTTCGTCAGCATCACTGGAACACTGGAACATTCGTCAAAGAAGCTCAACTTCGCTCGGAATTTCTGCAACACTGATGGGTGCAGCTTTTCCAATAGTACGATGCAGACTTTGCTAGGCAGTCGAGCTCCAGGTGTCAGATATGGCAGCAAATAAGGGCTCACCATGCCTTCCTTCTTCCTACTGCCACCACGGAGCACATTAAGTACGAGCTTCTGCACGTCCTCGACGTCCAGACGTTTCCGGCTACGAGCTGCGCCCATCCACGTGGCAAAGTCCAGTAGGACGTTGCTGCACGGCTGCTGTCTTGGGTATTTAACGATCAAGTCTTCGGCGTACGCGCGGTCATCCTGGTGGTCGTGGGGAGCTGCGTCGCGTCTGCGGTCGCTGTAGCCATTGCCGCTACTGTTGTTGTAGCGCGTCGGCTGGCGGTGAGACAGGGGCGGGCGGTTGTCATAAATTGAGGCAGACTCGGTGGGTCTAGCATCTTGTAGCGACGAGTGCAGACGCTTACGCGGGTTTCTTTGACTTGGTGTGGCGAGCAGCGCTGACGGGGGCTGTACGGGAGCATGAGAAGCACTTGGCAAGCTGGAGGACGCAGCAGCATCAGAGACAGATAATTGTGCAGGAGGAGGGGACTGCTCCACCTCCTCTCCCTCCTCCAGGATCTCGCCGTCTTCGTAGTCGATGTCCGATGCCATTTTCGACGCTGGTTGACCGATAAGTGCAGGAATTGTATTTTCCACATTGTAATCTTAAATGTTACTTGAAGTACTTTTTTACTTTTACTACTCTAGAAAGCAGTGCTACGTTTTCAGCTAAGTTTGGTACTTCACTTACAGAGCAGTAGTATTACATGTACTCATATGACGTGCTATTATTGCTGTTGAGGAGTAATATTTGCCCGAATGAGAAACACAAGGCCCAACTCTGGATCGAGTGGCTGAAGTACGAGATGCTCGCCACTGCTTAGAATGCTCGCCACTTCTTCGAACGCTCACTGAACAGTAGGGTGGCCGCAACCGACATTCGCGTAGGTGATGCCAGGAAGAATGCGCTCAAAACAGAACCATGCAGCTTGTGCAACAAGGGCGTACACCACCTCTTTGTTATCGGAGCGCTTGGAGGCCTGAATTTGGCGCTGAACGAGAGGTAATATGCGGATTCGCAAACGCGCTTTGCTCAAATGATAGCAGCGAGCCTATTTGAAAGCGTTAGGCTCTGCAGCAAGCCGTGTGTTCAAGTCGTCTAATCGAGCGTTGGCTTAAACCCCACAGATGACAAAATTATCCTTCTACAGCGTGTGGTGTTGTGTGCAGCGCAGCGTGACCTCGCGCTGTTGCACTTTGCCATCGTGAGAGACAGGATCTGACAAGGAGTCATTATCGCAGATTAGTGACAGCATTCGGTGGTTAGGGTGGATCAGGATTGCCCAACATGAAATCCATACCAAAATTTATCGGACCGGATGACCTTATCGGACCTATGTGTTGTACACAGTTTATCTCAGATAGGTACGAGGTTTAGGGGAGGGCGTGCCTGATGTGAAATGAATCAAAAGGCCAAAGAGTGGTCAAACAGACTGTTTTATAGACGGCAGGAAATGGCCTGAAACGCCCTCTGGGCTGAGAAAATCACTATTTTGTTTTTCTATGCATTTTTGGCATGAGAGTCACGTGCGCATGAGCTAGCAAATTTAACAATGAGGCATTATCGCCACGATCGTCCGGATAATTTTGCATCTGTCCGGTACATTAAGATTGACGACAGCCAGTTATCAGAGCTACTACTGCTTATTGGTTAATTATCTGCCGGTAAAAACGTGCCACTTGTAATTGCGCTAGACTACACGTATCGAATGGTTTGCAGCCTCTCACTTTCAGTCAATCCGTCGCCGACAGCCCACGTTGGCGGTCAGTCTTACTTTTTTCATCGCAACTACGCTGATCTCCCGTACGGGCTTCACGGGCTTCCAAGCCTCCAGGTCGCCTCTGACCCCCCCCCCTTCCAACGATGTAGCTCAACTGGGAGAGCGCAAGGTTTCGGCCTTGAGGATGCCTGCTCAAATCGAGCCATCGTTATTGCTTATGCTTGGGTTAGAGGCCTTGTAGCGAAGATCAAGTTTCGTGAGCAGCAGAGATCAGCAAGAAAGGTGATTGCATACGTGTGTTGAGGTCGACATAGCTTGATGCTGTGAGGAAGGGTGAATTTATTTGCATATAAGTGCTTGTTCTACTTACTAACCTCCTCAAGAACGTCCTGCGTGTAGCCAGGAGACGGGTCTTGGATTGCAGCTGTCTGGAGCAGTTGACGGTGGCGCTGGATCTTGGCATTTAGCGCGCCGACGCAGTGGACCCGCTGGAGGTGCTTGAGGACCGCGCTCGATCCGCGAGAGTTGATGCTGTGTTTGCCTTTCAAGTACGTGAGTACGGCGTTCTCGACGCGCTTGTTCAGTTCCAGAACTCGGTCGCGGTAGTCCGCAGAGGTTTGGCTGAGAATGAAGCCGTCGTCGAGGAACAGCTTCATGTACGCGACTAGCAGCTTGGCCTTCGAGCGCTGCTGCTTCGGTGCTTCGACGTACCAGCGTGGCTCTTGCGCGTACCAGGTAAACCAAGTCGCATGAAGGTAGGTTGCTGATCCTCTACGCTGTTTTTGCTTGGGTTTGCTCACATCTGTGGCGTCTTCATCTTGAATGCATCTTTTTCGCGTTTCAGCTACAGGATCACCGTTAAGCTTTGCCTCAAGCAGATCCATGCGGGCGTCTTGGCGCTTGGAATTTTCGATAAGGTGTTTAATGACAGAGGCCTGGTGCTCGATGATCTTCTGTTCTTGGCTTGGTTCCATTGGCATGGATGGTGAGGTGGATGCTTCTATGTTGTCTTTACAGGAATGATGCGCTCCTGCAAGATGCGTCAACCAAGCTAAGAGGTCCGGAAGCGTACGTCCAGCCTGTGTAACACAGGTATCGAGGCGTTGCACCGCTGGACTGTCGGGATTCAAGCCCTTTACGACGGGATAGTGCCTAACGATGCAAGCGGTTAGGACATCCAGAACCTTCCGGTTGATGTTGAAGCTTTCCGTCTCAAGTTGGTAGCAAGCTGCGAACAAGACTCGTTGGAACTCGGCAATTGCGTCAAGCGTGTCTGCGTCAAAGCTGGACAGGTCTTGGAGAGGGACAACGTCTTCTGGTTTGTATCCACTTAATACCTTGGCAATCATGTGGTCTTCTCTACTTGTGTTGAAGATGTAGTTGAATCCTTTGTTTGTGGTGCTTAGGTTCCAAGATCCGCGATCAAAGATCCAGCGCGCGGTCATCTTCTCGCAGCCGTTGGCATGTTGAGCCCCACCACGACGGAATGAGTGCGACGTGAGAGCAGCTGACACACCGGCGGCAGGGGCGACGCGATCAAGCACACAGTTGACATGTGCGTAGATTGTTGGGGCCGCAGCAGTACGCGGAGGAGGAGGAGCAGGCGTAGCAAGACCAGAGGTCGCCGGTGGTGCGTTCAGGAGCTCCACGAGCGGCATGTCAGGTGATAGTGTGGTCGGCGTTTGCTGCACTTGGTCGGGAAGGTTCCCGATGAGTGCTGGGCGCGGTGCTGCTTGGACGGAGAGGGCGAGAGCAGCAGCGAGCAAGGGGCACGTTGCGAAGTCGGCGTCGGGGAAGAGAGACAAACCTTGTTCTTCCGACGTCTTCACACGGACCAAGCGAAGGAAGAAGACACTGGCGGCATCTATAGATATGTTCCGCTTCTTGATCATCGACAGGTCCGAAGCTCGCCCGAACAGGTACCAGAGGAGACACAGAAGAGCAGCATCTTGGTAGTCACTCTCAGAACATGCATTGACATACAAATACACAACCATTTTTTTCAAGTCAGCCTTTGTACATGGTGGAGCCTTTGCTACGAAGCCACCACCATCTCTTTTCAGACAAAAGTTATCTAGAGTTTTTCCCATTTTAAGCAGCCGCGATTCTAGCGAGGCTCGGTGCTGTGGAAATTGCTCTAGGAGCCAAAAATTTTGGCTTGGCGGTAATACTGCATTGCAGTGTTTCGTGCCAGCAATTTACCCTTCTTTCCTTCACTAAACGCAAGATACATTCCAAACTTATCCATGACGCACACAAAGCTCTTGCCACTCTCATCCTCCTCAATACATTTCTTTACGTATTCCTCCTCAACATCCTTACCCTTTAAAAACTTGGAAAATACTGCGACAGCAGTTGCCTTAGCCCGCAATGTGTTGCCAGGTTGCAATTCCTCCAAACTCATCGCGAAGGTCCGATAAAGAGAAATATGAAAGTGATACGTATACTACTTGACAACTGAATGAGCATACACATATTTTAGAGTTTTATCGGACTTGATACGTCCGATCGGGTGGCTTGGATGACTCACCTAGACCTACTACATCCGATTGGTTTATATCATGATTTAGATATACTGTGATTGGCTGGTGATATTTGCTGGCAGGTAATTGGCAGTATATACCCATACAAAATTCAAGTATGGTCCGATAAACTATCATATTTATCCATACCGCTCGAAGTGGATTGGGCCAGGGTAAAGTGGTATCACTTATGGGTCAACGATGGATCTGGGGATAACAAGTGGCTCAGGGCGGATCTTAACCAGTGCCATGCCATGCCATGCCATTTAATCTGACTGTCGTGGCACCGTGGCACTGTTTCATTGAAAATGGATTTATGCGAATCCGTGCCATACAGTAATATTTGGCCTTAATTTTCAAAAGAAATATTACGTGATGAGCGGAAAGCGAAAAGCAAGCGCGCATGGCAAACTCGGAGCCCACAAACTCGCGAGGGTTACACCGCTAACTACAGCAAGCCCTTCGGCAGAAGCATCGTCGACTACTGGTGAGGCCATCCCTTCGACTGTGTGTACTGTTGTAGACGCCAAATCCTCGGTGCAGTCGCCGCTTGTGGTGTCGACAGCTTCGGCCTACCTAGCTCATGGAGCAACAAGCGCCAGGTACGACGCAGAACTTCTCGAAACCATCAATGCAGTGATTGGATCCGAGTCCGAGAGTGATGTTGCTGTTCACTTTCGCGACAACGTGGCCATTGCTGACACCGAAGAAGCCGTGGCTTGTACCAGAGCTGAGCGTGTGGTTAATTGAGCTGCTCGGAAACCTAGAAAGGTGGTACCGTCAGCATGCAGCGACTACGACCAGTGGGCGGTCGTCCAGCTACAAAAAGAGTGTACTGAAAGGAAGTTTCGATTTGGACGAAAGGTGAATAGACCTGAGCAGATCAGACGCCTCAGGGCGTATAATGCTACACGCCGAGCTGTCCAGTCTTCAATGGACGAAGAGTATCTGTTGGTGTCCAGCCTACGCAAAACAAAACACTGCATGACTCGTCTCCCCACTATTCTTTTCTCGGATTAATTTGCGGAGAAACTTGCTTTGTCGGGACCCGTGATCAAATCGATGCCGGGGAAGTGAGCAAAAGACCTGCGTTTTGGAAGGAAGTTGGTGCTGCATATCGCACCAGTACAACTGACTTCAATGAACTCTTCGGTGAAGCAGCGAACGACCCTCGCTACGAAGATATTAATCCTTCGGTGATTGTAGAGCACATCACAGCAAAGCTCTACGACATGTGGAAATCGGTGAACGGCAAGTTTGTGAAGGCATTAGCTAAATTCAATGTGTCTGGACAAAACGCCAACGAATT